AAACTAAAATCAGCAACATGTTTTTAGAAAGCATTCCACTTTGAGGGTCTCTTAACATTTATAAGATAATAACACCACTCCCCCCTTCCCAATGAATTTCCCAATATATCCCAATTCCTATTTCCAGAAGGTCAAAATAATCATGATTAACAGTTTTATTGTTAGTAGAAGTATCTTGGTTGACATGGCCAACACATTGAAATCAATAACCCTCCTTCATCAACTACTCCATTGCCCTGCCCACAAAAAAACCCTTTCTCTCCCCACCTAACATTCTTCTTTGCCCACTCACCTCTTGCTTCTCCCCACCTAACACTCCTCCCTGCCCACACTCTCTCTCTCTCTGCATCCAATTTCCCAATGACTGATCACAATGCTCATTTTGTAATCAATGATTAGAAACTGCACATTACCCAGGTATTACACCGTACAATCTTGCTCACTTTTTCCACTGCCTGGCCAAAATGCTCATTTTACAATCATCTGAAATAAGACCACAAAGAACTTTACCATGGTAAATATAGCCAACACAGTAACCCCAAAAAACCTCCAATCAAAACAAGCCTTCTCCCATCCCACCTAACAATCCCCACCTAGCCACTCACCCCACTCTTCTCCCTCCCCACCTAACAATCCAACCCTGACTGCTCACTCACAATTCTCAATCCACACTTATATATTGTTTTTTTTTTTCAAAATTTTCAGTCTTTGTTTATAGCGCAAAAAATAAAAAGCGCACAGGTGATCAAATACCACTAAAAGAAAGCTCTATTTGTGTGAAAAAAAGGACATAAATTTTGTTTGGGTGCAGCATTGCATGACCGCGCAATTATCAGTTGAATTAGTGCAGCGCCGAGTAGCAAAAAGAGGCCTGGTCATTAACCACTTGACCTCCAGAGGATTTACCCCCCTTAATGTCCAGGCCTCTTTTTGCTACTCGGCGCTGCACTAATTCAACTGATAATTGCGCGGTCATGCAATGCTGCACCCAAACGAAATTTACGTCCTTTTTTTCACACAAATAGAGCTTTCTTTCGGTGGTATTTGATCACCTGTGCGCTTTTTATTTTTCACGCTATAAACAAAAAAATGCCAAAAATTTTGAAGAAAAATATTTTTTACTTTCACCTATAAAAAAATATATAGTAAACTCAAAGTTGGTTATAAATTTAGGCCAAAATGTATTCTGCTCCATGTTTTTGGTAAAAAAAATCCCAATAAGTGTATATTGATTGCTTTGTGTGGAAGTTATAGCGTCTACAAACTATGGTATAGATACTGCAATTTACGCCATTTTTCTGCTATACAGCGCTGCGCTAGTTTAACGGACAATTGCGCGGTCATGCAATACGGTACATAAAATTTACATCCTTTTTTTCCCCACAAATTCAGCTTTCTTTTGGTGGTATTTGATCGCCTGTGCGGTTTTTATTTTTTGCGCTATAAAAAAAAAGGCTGACAATTTTGAGGAAAAAAAACAATATTTTGGACTTTTTGCTATAAAACATGTCCAGTAAAAAAAAATGTAAAAATCAAATTTAGTCATAAATTTCTGCAAAAATGCATTCTGCGACATGTCTTTGCTAAAAAAAAAAAACCCAATACGTGTAAATTAATTGGTTTACGTGAAAGTTATAGCGTTTACAAATGGCGGGAAAGATACTGGGATTTTTAGATTTTTTTTATACTAATAATGGCGGCGATCAGTGACTTATGGCAGGACTGCGGCGGACATTCTGACATTGGGGGGTACTGACTTGGGGTCACTAACATCTCCAGTGACACCATTACAGTGATCAGTGCAAAAAAAAAAAAACACTGACACTGTACTAATGGCACTGGGGAGGAAGGGGTTAAGTTTATTATTCAGGGAAAGGGTTAACTGTGTGAGGGGAGTGTTTTACTAGGGGGGCGAGGGTGTGTACTGCAGGGAACACCACTGATTGGGAGAGAGAAACTCTTCTGTCCCGATCAGCGTGTCCTGGACATGTCAGGGAACTGACAGAAAGCACAGCTACTGCAGCCCTGCTGTCAGCAATTGCCGCCGATCGCCGGGACATAGCCGGTAACGACCGGCTGTGACCCGGCGACTGACATCCACGGCTGTGATCGGCGGGACAGGTAGGGTGGCGGCGCGTCCCCTACCTGTTTTAAAAACACACTTTTGAAAACGTACTTTTGCCCAGCCGTGCCGCCCTGCCACCGTATTTCTACAGTGGCTGGGCGGCATGTGGTTAAGGGGATAAATCCTCTGGAGGGCAAGTGGTTAAGTGTGTGCCGTGTTGTTTTCCTTTTCCATGCCTTGTATTTGATGTGTGTGCCGTGTTGTTGTTTTCCTTTTCCATGCCTTGTATTTGATGTGTGTGCCGTGTTGTTGTTTTCCTTTTCCATGCCTTGTATTTGATGTGTGTGCCGTGTTGTTGTTTTTCATGCCTTGTATTTGATGTGTGTGCCGTGTTGTTTTCCTTTTCCATGCCTTGTATTTGATGTGTGTGCCGTGTTGTTGTTTTCCTTTTCCATGCCTTGTATTTGATGTGTGTGCCGTGTTGTTGTTTTTCATGCCTTGTATTTGATGTGTGTGCCGTGTTGTTTTCCTTTTCCATGCCTTGTATTTGATGTGTGCCGTGTTGTTTTCCTTTTCCATGCCTTGTATTTGACACGTGTGCCGTGTTGTTTTCATGCCTTGTATTTGATGTGTGTGCCGTGTTGTTGTTTTCCTTGCCTTGTATTTGATGTGTGTGCCGTGTTGTTGTTTTCCTTGCCTTGTATTTGATGTGTGTGCCGTGTTGTTGTTTTTCATGCCTTGTATTTGATGTGTGTGCCCTGTTGTTGTTTTCCTTTTCCATGCCTTGTATTTGATGTGTGTGCCATGTTGTTGTTTTCCTTTTCCATGCCTTGTATTTGACATGTGTGCCGTGTTGTTTTCATGCCTTGTATTTGACGCGTGTGCCGTGTTGTTGTTTTCCATGCCTTGTATTTGCTGTGTGTGCCGTGTTGTTGTTTTTCATGCCTTGTATTTGACGTGTGTGCCGTGTTGTTGTTTTTCATGCCTTGTATTTGATGTGTGTGCCGTGTTGTTGTTTTCCTTTTCCATGCCTTGTATTTGATGTGTGTGCTGTGTTGTTGTTTTTCATGCCTTGTATTTGACGTGTGTGCCGTGTTGTTTTCCTTTTCCATGCCTTGTATTAGACGTGTATGCCGTGTTGTTTGTTTTTTCATGCCTTGTATTTGACGTGTGTGCCGTGTTGTTGTTTTCATGCCTTGTATTTGACGTGTGTGCCGTGTTGTTGTTTTTTTCATGCCTTGTATTTGACGTGTGTGCCGTGTTGTTGTTTTTCATGCCTTGTATTTGACGTGTTGTTTTTGTTTTTCATGCCTTGTATTTGACGTGTGTGCCGTGTTGTTGTTTTTTTCATGCCTTGTATTTGATGTGTGTTGTTGTTTTTGACATGCCTTGTATTTGACGTGTGTGCCGTGTTGTTGTTTTTTCCATGCCTTGTATTTGACGTGTGTGCCGTGTTGTTGTTTTTCATGCCTTGTATTTGACGTGTGTGTCGTGTTGTTGTTTTTCATGCCTTGTATTTGACGTGTGTGCCATGTTGATGAGTGTTTTGTGTACATTGGAACGTCATATTTATTTTGACGTAATGCAGGGTTTGCTGTAACATTTTTCCTTCATTTTTGGGGACACCCATTGGCTGCTGTGATTGGTTTCCATGGGAAGGATTATTTTCTGGTCACCATGCTCTGGGAATGCATTTACAGATATATTCTGGGGTCTCTGGAGTGAAGGAACCTTAGCCATGGCTGTATGGGGGCCACCGCCTGAGTATACAGGTGACCAAAGCAGCTCTATAACTAGAGGCCTATGTATAGATAGAGATGAATATTGGGGAGGGGGGCAGGGGCGGACTGACAACTCATGGGGCCCCCGGGCAATAGGGGATCATGGGGCCCGTGTCCTTGCCCAAACTCAAAAAAGTCTATGAAAATGGTACCAGGGGCATCTCATGGGGCCCCCTACTGACCCCAGGCCCTCCGAGTGTCCGAATTGTCAGTCCGCCCCTGGGGGGGGGGGGGGGGGGGGGGTGGATTATTAATCATTCCGGTGTGCAGAGTCTGCAGCAGGTCACCATAGTAACCAATCAGCTTCCATTATCAAAGTTTAATTGAGAAAGCCGAAGCAAGCAGCTGACTGGTTTATTAAACAGGAGTGCTCCGGTTTTAGTACATTTTCTCCGTAGTCGTCTTCTATTCAGCGTCCGCCGTACGAGAAGTCGATTTGCGCAAATCGCACCGCCATCTATTCACTGCCCTAATCGCTCCACCGCACTCGTCCGCTCTCCGCGGCGCTCTGCTCTCGACTGAGCTGCCGCGACCGTTACGCTTTGTATCCTAGCCTTCTGGCTGACGCACGACGTGCCGCCGCTCGCGCTGTTTCGCTATTGGCTAGCGGGCGTTGAGGTTACGCCCCTTCGCGAGGCCGTGCTGGAGGCGCGAGAGTCGCGCGCTTCAAACATAAAAAACAAGGTGCTGGTGTCCGCGCTCCGCTGCCCAGTCAGGGAAGATGAATGGACCGGCGGGCGGGGACGGCTTCTGAGACCCGGGACAGGTCCGCTCAAGGATTCCCCACACCAGCGTACCGCATTCAGAAAAGAGCAATAAAGTTCATTGAGAAGGGAAAAAAAAAAAAAACGTGACTCTCTTTGTTGTGTTCAGTACAATGATGAGGAGGGGGAGTGGCTACAGAGAGGAAGGGGCGGTGACTAGCGGGCCGTGTCTCGGTGCATTGTGGGATATGGTGGGCTCCAGTCAGGAGGCGGTGTAGCTCGCCCCCGGAGGTTTCGGCCTTTTTATTTCTCATCCCGAGCCCGGCCCTCTCCTTCCACCCCGAGAGAGACTGCCGTCTGCGCGCCCCCGGAGGCTGAGCCCGTGTCGCTGCTGGGGGGGGCGCGCACCCTCCTCCTCGCGGGGACCGCGCTCCGCCTCCAAACTCCAAGATGGCGGAGGCTGGAGAGGAGGCTCTGGCTCCCCCGGTGGGCGCCGGCGGCTCCCGGGAAAGCGGGATCGTGTCCGGACTACGCCGTCCTTTGCTCCTTCCTGGAGAGGTACGGAGCCGCCCTGGACTTGCCCGAGCTGACCTTCCCCGAGCTGGAGGAGTCCCTGGAGGAGACCAAAGCAGGTGAGGGGGCCCACCGGGGACGCGTGACCAACAGAGAGACCCACATCCGGGGCACATCACCCCTCCCCCACCCCAATCATCACTTTACATTCCATCCTCATCATCCCCTTCATCCTTACTGATCATCCTCACCATCACTAATCATTCCCATCATCATCCTCCTCACCATCACTAATCTTCCCATCATCATCATCCTCCTCACCATCACTAATCATTCCCATCATCATCCTCCTCACCATCACTAATCATTCCCATCATCATCCTCCCATCACCCATCACTAATCATTCCCATCATCATCATCCTCCTCACCATACTAATCATTTCCCATCATCATCATCCTCCCACCATCACTAATCATCATCCCATCATCCCTCCCATCCATCATTCCCATCATTCCCATCACATCATCCCATCCTCCTCACCATCACTAATCATTCCCATCATCATCATCCCCCATCACTAATCATTCCCATCATCATCATCCTCACCATCACTAATCATTCCCATCCATCATCATCCTCCTCACCATCACTAATCATTCCCATCATCATCATCCATCCTCATCATCACTAAAATCATCCAATCCCATCATCCCCTCCTCACCATCACTAATCCCATTCCCATCATCATCCAACCTCACCATCACTAATCATTCCCATCATCATCATCATCCTCCCATCATCACTAATCATCCCATCATCATCATCCTCACCATCACTAATCATTCCCATCATCCCATCACATCCTCCTCACCATCACTAATCATTCCCATCATCATCCTCCTCACCCATCACTAATCATTCCCATCATCATCATCCTCACCATCACTAATCATTCCCCATCATCATCATCCTCCTATCCCATCACTAATCAATTCCCATCATCATCCATCCTCCCCATCACTAATCATTCCCATCATCCTCCTCCATCACTAATCATTCCCATCATCCTCACCATCACAATCATAATCATCATCCCATCATTCCCATCCATCCATCACTAATCATTCCCATCATCATCCCCATCACCATCACTAATCATTCCCATCATAATCATCCTCACCATCACCAATCATTCCCATCATCATCATCACACCATCCTAATCATTCCACATCATCATCATCATCCACTATCATCCCATCAATCATCCCACCAAATCATTTCCCATCATCATCCTCACTCAAACCATCACAATCATCCCCATCATCATCATCCCTCAAAAATCACCTCACTAATCATTCCCACCATCATCATCCTCCCTCAAACCATCACAATCATTCCCATCATCATCATCCTCACCATCACTAATCATTCCCATCATCTCATCCTCAATCATCACTAATCATCCCCATCATCATCATCCACACCATCACCAATCATTATCCCATCATCATCATCCTCCTCACATCATCACCAATCATCCATCATCCTCACCTCACCACCACCATAATCATTCCCATCATCATCATCCTCACCATCACCCCAACATTCCCATCATCATCCCCATCCTCACAAATCTCATCCCCCCATCATCTCCCATCATAATCTTCACTATCAACCCATCAATATTCCATTCCCCCATCCATCACTAATCATCACTTTCACATCCATCATCATCACCTCCTCACCATCACTAATCATTCCCACATTATCATCCCTCACCATCAACTACATCATTTCCATCAACATCCATACCCTCACCCAATCACTAATCATTTCCCCATCCATCATCATCATCCTCACAATCATTCCCATCAATCATCCTCACCCACTAATCATCCCATCATCCCATCCTCACCATCACTAATCATTCCCCATCATCCCACTAATCCTCATCAACTAATCATTTCATCCTCACCACTCATCATCCTCACCATCACTAACATCCTATCATCCCCACTACTCACATCATCCTCACCATCACTAATCATTCCCATCATCATCATCCCTCACCATCACTAATCATTATCATCATCCCCACTATCATCATCATCATCCTAATCATTCCCATCATCCTCACCATCACTATTCATCATCCCCCTACTCATCATCATCCTCACCATCCCCTTCATCCTACTAATCATCCTCACCATCACTAATCATTCCCATCATCATCACCTCCTATCACACCTATATCATTCCCATCATCATCCTCCTCACCATCACTAATCATTCCCATCATCATCCTCCTCACCATCACTAATCATTCCCATCATCATCATCCTCACCATCACTAATCATTCCCAAATCATCCTCCATCATCACTAATCATTCCCATCATCCTCACCATCACTAATCATTCCCATCATCCTCACTAATCATCATCCTCACTAATCATCATCCTCATAACTGCATCATCATCCCCCCACCATCATCATCCTCACCATCCTTTTCATCCTCACCACTACTCATCATCATCCTCACCATCACTAACCATTATCATCATCACCTCACTACTCATCATCCTCACCATCCCCTTCATCCTTACTAAATCATCATGCTCACATTTCCTTCATCCTCACTACTCATCATCATCCTCACCATCCTTTTCATCCTCACCATCACTAATCATTATCACCTTCATCCTCCCTAATCATCACCATCTCTATCTCATCACCACCACTCACCCATCTCTACTCATCACCACCAGCTTCATCCTCTCTACTCATCATCCTCACCATCCACCTTCATCCTCACTACTACTTATCATCATCATCATTCACCATCCCCTTCATCCTCACTGCTATTTATCATCATCTTCATCCTCACTACTATTCATCATCATCATCATCTTCACCATCCCCTTCATCCTCGCTACTCCCTCATTGCCTTCCATACCATCATCATCACCTTCCATACCATCATCATCACCTTCCATACCATCCACCTTCATCCTCACTACTCATCATCATCCTCACAATTACTACTCATCTCACCTTCATCCTCCCTACCCCATCATCATCCCCATCCTCGCGTAACTACCCATATCACCCTCACTTCTATATCATCTCCATCCTGACCTTCACTACTCATCACTTCCCATATCTTCATCATCATCCCCACCATATCTTTTCCATCCTCACCATTACTACCCACATCATCATCACCATCCAAGTCATCATTTCCATTACAGCATCCTCATCCCCCATGCTTGTCTCCATTACCCATATCAGCCCCATTCCTCTCCATAACTTCTCCATCCTCACCATCACTACTCATACAGTGCCTTGAACAAGTATTCATACCCCTTGAACTTTTCCACAAAAAAAATGTTGAAAACCATTTATCTTCCACGTCACAATTCTGTGCCACTTTGTGCGGGTCCATCACATCCAATCCCGATAAATACATGGACGGTTGTAACATCACCCTATTACTGCCCCCCATCCCATGACCCCCGTCACCCTATTACTGCCCCCCATCCCATGACCCCCGTCACCCTATTACTGCCCCCATCCCATGACCCCCGTCACCCTATTACTGCCCCCATCCCATGACCCCCGTCACCCTATGACTGCCCCCATCCCATGACCCCCGTCACCCTATGACTGCCCCCATCCCATGACCCCCATCACCCTATTACTGCCCCCATCCCATGACCCCCGTCACCCTATTACTGCCCCCATCCCATGACCCCCGTCACCCTATTACTGCCCCCATCCCATGACCCCCGTCACCCTATGACTGCCCCCATCCCATGACCCCCGTCACCCTATTACTGCCCCCATCCCATGACCCCCGTCACCCTATTACTGCCCCCATCCCATGACCCCCCATCCCACTGTCACCCTATTACTGCCCCCATCCCATGACCCCCGTCACCCTATTACTGCCCCCATCCCATGACCCCCGTCACCCTATTACTGCCCCCATCCCATGACCCCCGTCACCCTATTACTGCCCCCATCCCATGACCCCCGTCACCCTATTACTGCCCCCATCCCATGACCCCCGTCACCCTATTACTGCCCCCATCCCATGACCCCCGTCACCCTATTACTGCCCCCATCCCATGACCCCCGTCACCCTATTACTGCCCCCATCCCATGACCCCCGTCACCCTATTACTGCCCCCCATCCCATGACCACCGTCACCCTATTATTCCCCCATCCCATGACCACCGTCACCCTATTACTGCCCACATCATATGCCTATCACCACCCTACTACTGCCCCCATCCTATGACCACCATCACCCTATTACTCCCCCCCATCCCATGCCCACCATCACCCTATTACTGCCCCCATCCCATGACCACCATCACCCTATTACTGCCCCCATCCCATGACCCCCATCACCCTATTACTGCCCCCATCCCATGACCCCCGTCACCCTATTACTGCCCCCATCCCATGACCCCCGTCACCCTATTACTGCCCCCATCCCATGACCCCCATCACCCTATTACTGCCCCCATCCCCCATGACCCCCATCACCCTATTACTGCCCCCCATCCCATGACCACCATCACCCTATTACTGCCCCCATCCCATGACCACCGTCACCCTATTACTGCCCCCATCCCATGACCACCATCACCATATCACCCTATACTGCCCCCATCCACCATCACCCTATTACTGCCCCCATCCCATGACCCCCGTCACCCTATTACTGCCCCCATCCCATGACCCCCATCACCCTATTACTGCCCCCATCCCATGACCCCCATCACCCTATTACTGCCCCCATCCCATGACCCCCCGTCACCCTATTACTGCCCCCATCCCATGACCCCCATCACCCTATTACTGCCCCCATCCCATGACCCCCATCACCCCTATTACTGCCCCCATCCCATGACCACCATCACCCTATTACTGCCCCCCATCCCATGACCACCGTCACCCTATTACTGCCCCCCATCCCATGACCACCATCACCCTATCACTACCACCATCACCCTATCACCGCCCAACCTTTGGTGACATGTTGAAGCACATGCTGCATTTCCTGCTGTGTAGAAGAGATCCCACCAGACAGCCCAGCACCACCCAA